ATCCTAGAAGTTTTGGAGATCAAGAGTGGCTGGAAAGATTTCCCAGGAAGGAGGAACAGCATGTGTGATGTGCTTGGGGTAGAAAACGGCTTGGAGACTTTCAGGAATAGAGAAAAGGGTGAGGTCCCTAGAGCCTTCGGTGAACAGGGGGTGACAGGAGATGAGATTGGTGAGGTGGGCAGGGGCTGGAATTCCCAGGGAAGGGCTTGGGGGTGCTAGGTTAAGGTCTGCATCTCTGATTAAGGATGTGGAGGGGGATCATGAAGCTCAGTAATCTTGTGGATGTGGGCTTACTTGGAAACAATAAAGTGCCTTTTAATGAAAATTTTAAAAACACAACTAACCCATTGCCACGGTCAATTCTGACCCTAAGTGACCCAACAGGGCAGAGTAGAACTGTCCCAACTGTTCCATATGGTTTTTAAAGCTGTAAGTAAATCTTTATGGAAGAAGAACACTGCCTCATCTTTCTCCCAGAGACTGGCTGATGGGTTTGAACAACCGACCTTTCAGTTTTTAGTTGAGCATGTAACCATTGTATCATCAGGTCTCTGTTTAAAACAGAGACCGAAGGCAACATTCTCCTGTACGTTCTCCTCCCTGTACAAAAGTATTGGCTTGAAGCTCAGGCAGGTACAATGGAAGATGCTGTCCATGGTGCTGCTAATGAGCCAGTCCCTCATTGCTGGGCTCAACTTTTTCTTCATCCCCATTCTTGGAAACATTTGTTGTTGTTAAGTGCCTTTGAGTCGGTTCCGACCCATAGGGACCCTGTACAGGGTTCCCGAGGCTGTAAATCTTTACTGGAGCAGAAAGCCTCATCTTTCCTCCCGCGGAACGGCTGGTAGTTTCGAACTGCTGGCCTTAAGGTTTGCAGCCCAATTCGTAACCACTACGCTACCAGAGCTCCTTGGAAACATAGATACTCCTAATCCCCATGTAACACACCTCAGGCACATCAGGTCCCAAAGGCATTGCCCCTGTCCCCCATGGTAACTCCTGTTTTTGGTCATTCACTAATTCATTTAACTCATGCAAAAATCCTCACAACTGGACCAATACCATTGTGATAAACGGAGAAAACACTGAAGTTCATTTTACTTGGATTCACAATCAGCACACATAGAGTTGTTGTTGTTGTTGTCAGGAGCCATCGAGTTGGAACCGACTCATAGCAACCCCATGCACAGCAGAACGAAACAATGTCCGATCCTGGGCCAACCTCACTACTGCCGCCACACTTGACGCCATCAATGATGCCACCTGGCTGATCCATCTTGTTGGGGGTCTTCCTCTTTTTTTCTGACCCTCCACCTTACCCAGCATGACATCCTTCTCCAGTGACTGTTCTCTCCGGACAATGTGTCCAAAGTATGAGAGACGAAGCCTAGCCATCTTGGCCTCCAAGGAGCACTCTGGTTGCACTTCTTCCAAAATAGTAGCACTCAAGAAATCAAACAACATGTTGTACAAATCTGCTGCAAAAGACTTCTTTAAAGTGTTAGAAAGCAAAGATGTCACTTGAAGAACTAAGGTGCACCTGACCCAAGCCATAGGTTTTTCAATCACCTCAGATGCGTGTGAAAGTTGCACTGTGAAGAAGGAAGACCAGTGAAGAATTAACATATTAGAATTATGGTGCTCATGAAGAGTATTGAATATACTATGGACTACTAGAAGAACAAACAAAGCTGTGTTGGGAGAACTACAGTCTGAATGTTTCTTAAAAGTGAGGATAAAGACTTCATTTCTTGTACTTTGGATATGCTATCAGGAAGGACCAGTTCCTGGAGAAGGCTATCATAGTTAGAAAAGTAGAGTGTCAGCAAAAAAGAGGAAGACAATCACTAAGACTGGCACAATAACTACAACAATGGGCTCAAACACAGCAAAGATTGTGACTATGAATGATACAGGATTGGGCAGTGTTTCATTCTGTGGCCACTCTGAGTCAGAATCAACTTGATGACACCTAACAATAGCAACAACCGTACATATTGAGTTCCCTGTGTGCTGGGTCTGCAGACTGGGTCCTTGTGACCCAGACACCAATGACATGGACATTGCTCTTAAGAGTTTAGTGTATGAGGAGACAGATTACAAAAGAGATGAGAAATAAATTCTACAACTGGCTGTAGGTCTGATTCATGCACATTCTTCAAAGCCTTGCTCAAGAGCTCTACCTCTCACGGCAAGATCCTTCTGGCTTACTCTGTTAGCTTAGCGGTTACGAATTGGGCTGTGAACTGCAAGGTCAGCAGATCGAAACTACCAGCTGTTCCGCGGGAGAAAGATGAGGCTTTCTGCTCTCGTAAAGATTTACAGCCTCGGATACCCTGTACAGGCTCGCTATGATTCAGAACCGACTCCACAGCACATAATCAGCACCACCTAAATACCTGTAGCAGGGATCACCTATGGCGATGATTGTTGGCCCTTATGTGGCATTTACTATGTACAAACTACATTAGAATTTTCCTGGGTACTAGTCCCGCCAATTCACCTCCTGGGCAATCACCAGCTTTGTATTGGTAGAAGCTTACATGTTGTTTACAGCTGAGCAAGTTTCAGTGGAACTTCCAGACTAAGACTAGGAAGAAAAGCCTGGTCATCTACTTCCAGAGGAAAGACAAAGGCAGTGAAACCCTAAGGATCACAACAGAACAGTGCTAGAAGATGAATACTAGCCCACCTAGGTTTGGAAGGCACTCAACAATGGAGAGTGAAGATGAGCTGGCACAGAACCAGACCGCATTTCATTTCATGGCACATGGTGGGGGGTACACCATGAGTTGGGGTCTAAGAACACACAACACTCTCTGAAAAGCATTGTACTCAGTTCATTTTATATGACCAGATTCCTTTAAGCTTCACAAGGGTCCCCTTTTACAGATGAGCAAACTGAGGCCCACCGGAGTCACTTGCCTACAGCCACACAGCTAGGAGGTGGTGGAGGCAGTATTTGAACTCAAGACACCAGACTCTAGACCAGTACACTGCCCATATTCCCTGTAATCTAGAGTTTGGCAGAGACTGGTTTCTCTGCTCATCTCCTGCCATATTTGCTACTATGTTTCCCACGTGCTGTCCTGTCTCCAAAGACCTAAGCTACCCCATAACACAATTAACAGTCCTGTGGGGTCTGCAAGGCAAGAACTGCAAGACCAAAGAATTTTTGGCATGGACTGTACATGGCACGTCCACTCTCTCATCAGCGCCTCATCCCAGCCCAACAAGGCAGGCTCCGCAGGCGAGAACACCTGGCAGAGGCCAGCTTCATTCACCCTCAGCACTAGGTGACAGGAAATAGCTGACCTTGAGGCAGTCACAGCACCTCTGGGAACTTTGGGAAGCTCTGAGTCTTCCACTATGCAACGGGGTTCATGGCAACCATCCTGGAAGGATGGTGGCAACTGAGATGAAAGCGCCTGGCTCAGCATCAAAAACCCCCACACAAACCCAATGTCCTAGAATTAATTCCAACTCACGGCAGTCCCTGTGTTTCAGAGTAGAACTGGGCTCTGTGAGATTTCCAATAGCAGTAACCTTTGCAGAAAGGGGCCCTGATGGTGCAGTAGGATAAGTGCTGGGCTGCTAACTGCAGGGTTGGTAGTTCAAACCCACCAGCCACCCTGAGGGAGAATGATGAGACTGTCCCCGGAAAGATTTGCAGTCTTGGAAATCCTATGGGGCACTTCTACTCTGACGTATAGGGTCCTTCGCTATGAGTTGGATCGACTTGAAGACAGTGGGTTTTGGTGGGGTAAACTTTGCAGATAAGAGTTCTGGTTCTGCAGTGGCTAAGCACTGGACTATTAACAGAAAGGTTGGTGGTTCTAATGGCACCCTGAAGAAAGGCCTGCTAACTTGTTCTTGCAAACATGAACAAAACTCATTGCTGTCCAGGTGATTCCAACTCACAGAGACCCTATGTTTTTGTTGCTGTTAAATTGCTGTTGAGTCAATTCCACCCCATAGCGACGCTGTATAGGGTTTCCGAGGAGCAGCTGGTGAGCTTGAACCGCCGACCTTTCAGTTCAAATGGCTTTGCAGTCTGACGCATTAACCCACAGCGCCACACCAGGATTCCTATTGTTGTTGTTGTTGTTAAGTGCCATCGAGTCGGTTCCGACCTATAGCAACCCGGAACAGGGTTTCTGAGGCTGTAAATCTTTATGGGAGCAGAAAGCCTATAGGACAGAGTAAAATCGCCTGCCCCATAGGGCTTCCAAGATTGTAAATCTTTAACAGAAGTAGATTGCCTCAACTCTTGAGGAGGGGTTGGTGGGTTCGAACCGCAGACTTTCTGGTTAGTAGATGAGTGCTTAAGCACTATACCACCAGGGATCTTTAGTAACAACTGTTGTTAAGTGCTATGGAGTCAATTCCAACTCATAGCAACCCTGTATAGGGTTTCCAAAGAGCAGTCACCCTATGGCTCACTGGATGAACCTCAGCTGCCAACTTTTTAGTGTTGTAAGTTGCTGTTCAGTAGATTCCGATTCATAGTGACCCCATGTGTCACCAAGTAGAACCGTTCCATAGGCTGTGATCACCAGAACTTTCTTCAGAGGTACCAGAATGGACTCAAACTGCCAATCTTTGGCTGAGTACCCAAGCACAAACCCTGTATGCCACCCAGGGACCCTTGCTCATCCAACTAAACCAAACCCACTGCCATCAAGAGTTGATTCTGACTCATAGCGAACCTGTATTGGGTTTTCCAGAGGAAATCTTTACGGAAGCAGAGCACCTCATCCCGTTGGAGTGGCTGGTGGCTTAGAACCACCAATCTTGTGGTTAGCAGCCCAACACCTACCCCACCGCACCACTCATTTTGCCTATTTAGTCTGAAGACTGCCTCCTGCTGGCGTCTTCTCAGCTACAGTGGATGCCACGGGTGGGGTGGAGGGCACTGGATGCACTCAAAGGGGGCATTGTGTTGTTCAGTGACTAAGTGATGTCTCTGCCCCACCACACTCCCCACCTGTCCCAGGTACCTTTGATCTTCTCGCCCTTGCTCAGTGAGATCTCTCCCTCGCCTTGCGCCTGGTAGGACTTCACCGCCATGAAAGAGCGTCCGGGTACAGCCGAGTAGAGTTTCCTCCGCTTTCCACGACTGCCCAGGGAGCCCCCGGGACCCCCCGAGGAGCCCCCTGTGCCCCCGGCTGGCCCTTCCCGGGGAGTCCCGCTGGAGCTGTGTACACAGAGGGTGTGAGAGGCAGGGGAGAGTGGAGAACATGGGTCCTTGGGGGTGTGGGTGGGTGGGATAGCGCATCAGGGTGGGAGAGGGGGTATGAGTGTGTTTCCAGCTGTGGCATTCTGAGGAGGGAGAAGGGAGCATCTGGGGGCTCCCTCTGCCTGCTTGCCTAGAGCCCCCACTAGTCCCCTTCTTCTCCTTCCCGGCTTGCTTCCGGTCCTCCCCGCAGCAGCCAGCGCTGCCTGATTCAGCTTCCTGGAGCTGCAGCGCTCAGACTGTGTCATCTCTCAGCTCACGAGCCTTCTCCAACTCCCAGTTTCCTCCTGGGTCTGGGCCAGCTCTTCTGCCCGCCATGATCTGCCTCCCCCGCCTGGACAGCCAGGCCTCCTTCCAGCACCCCCAAGCTAGAGTTCCCCCTGGAGTGACCCCTCTGCTCTCCTTCTCAATCTTTCCCCTCCACGGGCTCATCGCCAAGCCCCTGACACTCCAAATCCAGCGCCCCCTTCCCCCGCTCCCTTCTGCCTGTCTCTGCTGGACTTTCTTCACCTCACCCAGGCTTTCTGTCTGTCCTCAAGGGCCTAAATGTTCCCTTCTTTGTTACCCCACCCCTGTCTTCTTCATGATCACTGCACCCCCAACGTAAGCCCCTGCAACCTAAGCATATCCTGGTCTGTCTATTGTTATTCTGGGTGTCTATCTCTATCCCCAGGACGTGAAGTTAAAACTTGGAGTGCATTTAGGGATGTGGGCTAAGAAAGGGGCTCCAGCGCCCTCACTTTTTTTGGGGTCATGGCGAGTGATGGAAGGTCTAAAGGTGGGACCAGAGACGGATGGATGGAGGGAAGAAGTGCCTATGGGGGCATTAGTCATTGTACATGGGACAGGAAGTAGGGAGCAGGGGCTCCCCAAGAAGAGAGTGGGCTGGGTTGAAGACTCTGGGGCCAGGCCTTCGGCCCTTCCCTACCTGGGCCGTCCTCGAGGCTGCCTCTTGTTCTCCTCAGGGTGCCTCCCACGGGAGGGGGAGCGGGCCCGGGCTCCCCGGGGACTGCTGGCACTTCGTAGGGTCCCGCTGCTGAGCTTGGTGCTGGGGGCTGGGGGCTGCGACTGGCCCTGGGGCCCTGAGGTTGGGCCGGGGGTCCCAGAGGATGAGGTCCCCGGTGCTGAGAATACCATCCAATCAGGCAGGGCCATGTTGGTATCACTGTTGGCTCGAAGCAGTGCTGGGGGGACGGTCAGCCCTGCACTCGGGGGCCCCCGACGCCGGGCTGCATACTTGGGGGACTCCTGGAAGGGGACTGGGGGACAAAGGAGGTTTGGGAGACACAGGCAGACAGGCAAGAGATTGGGGGAAGAGAAGTAAGAGGAGGAAGGTGGAGAAAAGAGTGGGGACACTTGAAATCTTTCCCCCCGTCCCAGGAGTCCCTAGCTGGTATGAACAGCTAATGAGCTCAGCTGCTAACTGAAAAGTTGGTGGTTCGAGTTCATTGAGAGGTGCCTTTGAAAAAAAGCCTGGTGCTCTGCCTCCAAAATATCAGCCCCTGAAACCCTATAGAGAAATCCTACAGTTCTACTTTGACACACAGGAGTAAAATCGATTTGATGGCAACTAGTCTATATGGGTCGGAACCGACTCGACGGCACTTAACAACAACAACAACAACAAGAAGTCTATATGATTATTATTTTGGATTTCTGATTGGCCGTTTTTTTCATCCCTGGGTGTTACCACTGGTTATACATCTGACTTCTAAATAAAAAGTTGGAGGTTTGCTTTCACCCAGAGGAGCTTGAGAAAAAAAGCCTGGGGGATCCGCTTCTGAAAAACCAGGCTCATCCAAAACCCTACGGAGCGCAGTTCTACTTTGACACACAAGGGGTCGCTATACATCAGAACCAACTAGATGGCAATTGGTTGGTTGCTTACCACTGCTCTGAAGTTCATGCCGCGTCCCCCGCCCAACCAAGGGGTCCACTGTGCTGTAGGACACGTATGGGACTGCTAACTGCAAGGTGGGTGGTTCAAACCCACCAGCTGCTCCTCAGAAACCTAAACCAACTCACTGGCACTTAACAACAACAACATCCTGCCTTCCTAAATCGGATCCTCCCATTCCCCAATCCCACCCCCATGTCCTCAACAGTCCCAGGTCCTCCTCTTGACTCCTTCCCACTTACTCACCCACATCTTGCTCTCGGTGGCTTCGGATCAGCTCCCCCAGCTCAAAATTCCCAGCAATCACAGCTACCTGGAGGGAGGGGGTAGAGGCAGAGGTCATAGTGAGGTGTCTGACCAGCGCCCCCAACCTTCCACCCCAGCACTCCTAAATATCCCCCTTCCTCCCCACGCCTCTCCGTCTTCTTCCTGTTCCCCTCTAATCTCAGCACAGCCCACCCAGCTACAGACCTGGAAGGGCGTCTGTCTGTTATTATTCTTCACATCTTTATTGGCCCCGCGGTACAGGAGAATTCGGGCGCAGGTCTCCTGAGGGGAGGGGGACAGCCGCCAAACACACAGGGTGAAGGGAACAAACACAGTTACCATCAGCACGCTGTGCTGGCACTGTGCTAAGAACTTCACTGCCCAGTCCTGAGCCTTTTAAATGCAGCTCCTTCGCATTGCCATGTGCTGTGAACCTTGATAGCACAATGGTTAAAGTGCCTGTCTGCTAACCCAGAGGTTGGCGGTTCAAACCTACCAGCAGCACTGTGGACAAGAAACTTGGCAAATCTGTTTCAGGAGTGAACAGAACCAAGAGAACCCTATGAAGCAACTCTGCCACGTGGGGGTCCTCTTAAGAGTTGGAAATGATGGTTGGTTTGTTGGTTTTGTTTTGTTTTGGAAAGATGAGTGTAAAACGCACATTAGATTTAAAACACCCAGTCTGCCGGGATGGCAGCCAACATTTTGGTCTTGTCTGCTAACCCAAAGGTGTGGCAGTTCAAGTCCACCCAGAGGTGCTTCAGAAGAAAGGACTGGCATTCTATTTGTGTGGGAGGGAGGGGGAAATCAAACATTGAAAACGCTATGGAAGCACATCAGCTATACTGGACTCTTTGCTTTTTCTCCAACATACCATACACTCCCTGCTTCGGGGTCTTTGTACCTACTGTTTCTTCTGCTTGGAATATCCTAAAAACCCACATGACTTACTCCCTCACTTCAGTTCAGTTCTTCATTCAAATAATGTTTTCTTAGTAAGGCCCGTCCCCATCTCCTGTTTAAGTTACAACTCTTTCCCCACCAACACTTCCTAGTCCTACCTTCTTCTTTTTTTTTTATTTCTCTCCATCGCTCTTCCCATCAACTCATACTTTACTTATTCTTCAATATTTTGTTGTCTCCCTCTGTGAATTTATTCTATTTATTTTGCTGTTGAAAATAAAACAGCAAAACACACCAATTCACCCATTTCTGTGTGTGCAATTCAGCGACACTGAGTACGTTCTTAGAGTTTTTAAGTCATCCTTACCCTCCTTTTCTAAATCCTTCCTCTAGTCACAAAAACTCAGTGCCCCGTAGGTTCCTATTCAATCTTTTGAGGGACTGTTGTCAGTTTGTTCCCACAGAAAGTTCTTGAAAGAGTATAATGCTCAAGGCAGTTTTTAACTAGTTAAATATTTTGTTGATGTTAAATGCCATAGAGTCGGTTCAGACTGGTTGTTGTTGTTGTTGTTATGTGCCGTGGAGTCGGAACCGACTCATAGCGACCCTGTACAGGGTTTCCTAGGGTGTAAATCTTTACGGGAGTAGAAAGCCTCATCTTTCTCCCGCGGAGCAGCTGGTAGTTTCGAACTGCTGACCTTGCGGTTCACAGCCCGAGTCGTAACCACTACGCTACCAGAGCTCCTTCAGCAACCCTTTATAGGGTTTCCAAGGAGCAACTCATAGGTTTAAACTACTAATCCTACAGCACCACACCAGGAGTCCACACCAGAAGACTTTAGGGGATATATTTTTGGTTTAAAGGAGCTCTGGTAGCGTAGTGGTTACAAGTCAGGCTGCTACCCTCAAAGTCAGCAGTTGTAAACTACCAGCTGTTCCACCGGAGACAGATGAGGCTTTCTGCTCCCCTAAAGATTTACAGCCTCAGGTACCCTGTGCAGGTTTACTATGAGTTAGTTATAACCGACTCCACAGTACACCACCACCACCACTATTTTTGGTTTAAGGACTAAAGATGATCTCAGAGCGATAGTTTGAGGGGTTCATCCAGTCTCCATGGACCCAGAAAGTCTGGATTCCATCAGAATATGAAATTAAGTTCTTAAAGGCAGAGATTTTTATGTGTTTTGCCACGGAGTTGAATTCTCAACACCATGTACATAACCTTGCTGAAGTTATTGTTATTATATTGTTAAGTGCCATCGAGTCGGTTCCAACTCATAGTGACCTTGTATAGGGTTTCTGAGGAGTCGCTGGTGAGTTTGAACTGCCGACCTTGTGGTTCACAGTCCAGTGCTGATCCTACAGTGCCACACCAGGAGTTCCATGTACACAATAAATGCTTAATTAACATCTGTTGGATGAAAAACACACAAACAAAACTATGGAGCAAGAATGGTCAATCATTTGAAGTCAAAAGGGCAGCATTTACCTAAGGACAAAATTCAGAAGGGTGCGGAAAGGAGGAGGAAGGGAGACAAGAACCACTGGGAGGAAGTGGGCTCAGTGATGTTTTACTGAGGGGATTGTAATCACTGAGATGAAATGAATGAGCTCGCCAATGTAAAACTGATGATCTGCTCTGTAAACCGTCATTCAATTCACAATAAAAAGTTAAAAAGCTATGGAGCACAGTTCTATTCTGAT